TATATATATATAGATATATATATATATATATATAAATGTATATATATATATATATACTGTATGTGAGTCTAAATCACTGTGGATACTAAAGATATTGATGTGGATCTGGCCTGCAATACTCGCAAACACACACTATTTAAGGTAGCCAGAAAACCAGGGTGCCTGGTTCAAGAACATGAGAAAAGGTAGAGAAAAAGAGAAGAAAATATTAAAAGGAATAGAGAAGGGCTAGCACTGGACCCACCAGAGGGTTGAGCTCATTTTAAATTGGGGCTGTTGCTGCCCCAGACTTACACATTCTCACACACCCACCCAAATCATGACCCAATGCCAAAATACTGTAAAACTCATAATTATTTTTTCATTTTTTCCACAAAAAAAAAAAAAATCCCAATTCAATTTCACCCCCAGATGAGGAGTGAGCCTAGTGGGAAGGATGGGAGAGTGAGAGAGGGAGAGAGAGAGGAAAGACAGGGAGGTATTGTGTTAGTACGGTTGCAGTGGTTCAGTGTTTGCTTTGGTTTCTAGGGTAACACCAGACTGCAAAGAGATAACTTAAACAGATGTGGAGAACCCGACGGAGGGAGGGAAGAAGAAAAAGACGAAAAAAGAAATCAGGAAAAATAACGAAACAGAAAAGCCACAGATAAATCCGCCTTGTCTGTGAGTGTTTCTGGTATTTTGGTGTTTAAAGAAAGAGCAAATCACGTCCAGAGAGAGAGAGAGAGAGAGAAAACAGAGCGATTAAAAGAAAAAACAGAGGGAAAAAAAACTGGAGAAAAGAATCATTCATGGTATTTACTTATTTAAAAAAGAAAAATCTACATTTATAAACATGGATGGTAGGCACGCAGGTTGTTGACACTGTCAGCAGATAAAAACATTTAAAAATTATTTTTCCAAATTATTTTTAACCATGAAATCGTGCTAAAATTAATCAAATATATATATATGTTATATATAATTGTATATATGTTACCTGCAGCATAAGTCTAATACACATTGATGATTTACTTTAAGGATTGCAAACAAAAAATTATTTAATATAACAGGAATGTAATATTCCAAATATTTATTATTATCATTTATTATTATGAATATTATTATATAATTTTATTATATAAATGTACACCATTTTTATGGAATCTATCCCTCTATAAAATAAAATAAAATAAAATGTCTTGTTTAGGACCTCATATTATACTTTTATATTATACATATATTATACTCACATTATACTTTTGTAATATATTAATTGAGACTAATTTAGAGACAACCTGGAATATCTGCACTTGCAAAATATTAAATTGTCACACTGCAGGACTACTTGAATAAGAAAAGATAATATTTGATTTAAGAAGTTGTAGCATCTAAAATACATCCTTTTTCTAAAACATTCACATACATAAATGCTTACAAATATAATGCCTGTTGATGTTTTTTATCATCTACCCATGCGTGAGTGTTTATGCATCTGTGTGTATGCACGTGTGAACCTCTAGTTTCGGATTATGAATGAATTCTTTCAAGTCATCCGCAACACGACGAAGGTTCCTCCTTTCTTCTGGGAAAAAACAAATCTGGCAGGCCGAATTAAGAGAGACAAATTAAAAAGATAATATTCCCTTTCTAGTCAGCTGAGAGAGACCTTCAAACCCCTCTTGGACTTTTGACAATTCAAAAGCAGCAGCAAAAATGAATGTTTTGGTTCCAAAAAGCATCATCTCAACCATAGCTGCTCTGAAAATAATTAAAAGATTAAAATGATAATTGGAAACTCAAACTTCCCCTCCCTTTCCCACAGATCCTTACAAATGGCGAGTGAATTTCAATTAAGAAAAAATGAGAGTGGAAAAGAAATTAAATAATAAAAGTGTGTGAAATATTGATAGCATCTGATATATCGTCTCATCTGCAAGATCACTGAGGGCCGACCCTGACAAACAAGGGAATTGAAGAAGAAAATTGACCAGCACAATGACCAGCTCCTCTTCAAAGCGCTCATATTAACATCTATTTCTCAATGATATATTCCACAGAAAAGAGCTGTTTATATGGAGCAAATCCGAATGAAACAAGACTTTCTAAAAAAATTCAGATCAATGTAAGATCATGGCAGCCATGCAAAATGGGAGTGAAAATGGTGTTGCTTGCATCTCCTGTATCTTTCCCAAAAACTGTGAGTGGATTAAGTGTCATTTTATCATTTAAGCTAATTTAGACTAGATTTAAATATTATTATTCCCAAATCAAGTGCTTTGTTTAGCCGCCTGGCCTCATGCACACTGATACAACAAGCGCTGCGAGTTTGCCCTTTGTTATGACCTATGCAAAACAGAGCTTATCTGTTTACACAAGAATACTTAAACTCAGCATCATTAAACCCTCAATGTCAGGATTCACAGAAAAGTGCAGGGTCTACAAATACATCTAGTATGGTTAAAACAAGACAGGTCCTTCACGACATCTCTTTGAGGGTCAGAGAAAACTCATTTGAATTTTTTCCAATAATTAAATTTTTTCTTGCCACAACTGGGCTATAGTGTAGTTTGGGGTCAGTAAGAATTTTTGATGTTTTTGAAACAAGTCCTATCCTATGCTCACCAAGGCTGCATTTATTTGTTAAAAACACAGTAAGATTGTGAAATATTACTACTAACTTGTTTAATATATTTAATTTTTATATATTTTCATAAGCCATTATGCCAGTCTTCTGTGTCCCATGATCCTTCAGAAATCACTATAACGTGATTTGGTGCTCAAGAAACATGTCTGTTTATTATCAATGTTGAAAACAGAGCTGCTTAATATTTTTTCAGGATTCTCTGACAAATAGAAGGTTTGAAAGAAAAGCATTTATTTAACAGAAATATTTTGTAACATTGTGTCTTTACTGTCACTTGATAAATTTTATCCTTGTTGAAAAAAGTATTTATTCATTTAAAAAAAATCTATTTTAATCCAAACTATTGGGACAGTAGTGTATATTGTATACAACATTTTTTATATAAAAACATGCAAATAAACTTCTGACATTCAATAAATACATGGGCCTAATATTATACTTTAATATATTTTCTTTTTTTCTATATTTTATTACTATATTATTATTATTTTTATTTATTGTCTATTCTCTTTATTATTGTTGTTTTATTACCTTAAATTATTGTCTGCACTATGTCTGTACTTTCTGTACTGGAAGCTCCTGATACCAAGACGAATTAAATGTGTGTGTAAACACACTTGGCAATAAAGCTCTTTCTGATTCGGATTCTGATATTTTATTGCAGAAATATATCATAGTCCTCACAAACACAAAATAAAACCTATACTATTAAAAACAGGAACATTGCAAAACATGATTTAAAAGCCGTCAGCAAATGTTTTCAAATGTTACTGTTGAAGGCAAAGAATGTGCAGCAGAATTGACGTTTTGGTGGCTGTCGCGTTGGTGCTTGGGATGAATTTAGAGACAGTGGGTTTTAATGCACGGTAAAACCCTTCCTAAAAATTGTGCCTTTAAATTCATCCCCACATTTGTTCTGTCAGATAAAGGTAAGAGATGTCTAGCTTCTGTCAGAATGAAGAGTAAAGCTGCTTGTGAACTGTCATATTTGAATGTTCACTTCAAGTTCAATAAAAGTCTTGAGGACTGTCTAATGAACAGTTTCACTGTTAGGAAAAGCCTTTTATTTAGATAGTCTAGCAGGAAAGCCATTAAAAGCAGACGTCCTTTAGGAGCAAATCACCTGGGCGGCACTGACCTCTTCATTTGTCCTCATCAGAGATGAGTTACTGCTAATGTGAGCAAGCATCATTAGGGATGTCTCAGCGCTAGTATAAATTTACACGTCCTCATTCACATTAGGAAATACTTCACTTGTACAGTAATGTGTGTGTGTGGTCAGACCTGCTGGAAAGGTTCAAGAGCTCGTGTTTGTCTGCAGCAGTGGATTTGTCCTCCAGCTCCCACAGCAGAACGCTGATGAGATGAGAGTTCTTGATGACAATGGGCACCTCCTCGAACATGTTCTCAAAACCCACACTAGCCTTCTTCAGCCTGCACACACAGAAAAGACATTTTCATTGTCATTGACAAGTGTCAGAATCTGGAAGTGACCCCGTCAAAGATTTGACATCACATTGTTGATAACAGCAAGCAAACACTCTGACCAAACTAGGCACCAAATGTCAAATTTCAAGCAATTTGTCAGACAGATTTTGAAAGTGAAATGGCTGTGCGATTTGACAATCATAGCCAATCAGGAGGAGCAGGATTATGGATTAAATTTAGGAAGAATATACAAAAATAATAATATAATATAATATAATACATTTAAAAATAAAAATATATCCTTTAAAAAAAAAATCCATATTTAATACCAGTCCAACTGAAGTAAAAAAAAGAGTAAACTTTACAACATTTACATATAAGTATATAATATATTGTAATATTATAACAATAATAACTTTAAGAATATAAAATTATCTCTCTCTCGCTCTCACACACACACACACACACACACATTAATTAATCTGCATTAACTTCATTGAGCCCCAGGAATTTAAAGGCTTACCCATCTGCTGAGAAGTCCTTCTCTTTACAGATCTCCATGAGTTTTGGGGTCAACCTGTAGGCTTTCAAACACAAAGAACCCTGGGCTGTCTTGAGGGGATCTACAGAGAAAGAAAACCAAAGACAAAACATGGATGGTCTTTCTGAAGACAGCAAACAAACCAAAGTGTTCTGACTTGCTCAACACAGGGTACTATCTATAAACTTAAAAAAAAAAAAAACATCTTTGTGACCAAAAAACAAAGGCAGTAAAGGCTGTTTTACGACAGACATATGAAAAGTAAAATTTAAGATATTAAATTTGAAAAGATGCAGTATATGTTAATCTTACAGGGGAACAGAACTGTCAGCCAGTCAGAGTGAATTAATCTCACTGTCAGAAGGCTGACATTTCGGGAAAAAAATAAATAAAATAAAATCATTAATGTTCTGTCTAAGATGGGCAAAACTTGCCAGTCAGCTCTGCCCGCTATCCATTATCCAAAGACAGGATTTATAACACAGCTCTGTTCTGATATTAAATGCATTTAGACACTGTGGAAAGATGATCGTCTGTCTTTTCATACGGTCTTGAAACTTCCCTAATGACATAAAAATGGCAATCTAAACAACTCAAGGAGATCTCAAGATCAGCTCAGACAAAGGTAAGATTTAGTTAGTCTTCTTCAAGTACCTGCTGAAATGGAGTGGGCTGAATCAATATCAGGTTTGAGGATTTATTTATGCACCACTTCTGAATGCCATCCACAATGCCTTTTGCAACAACAGTGTAACAACTTGAAATAATAAATACAAAACACAAACACAGAACTGCACAGAAGTGCATAATAGTGCAGTATAGTGATGGGGACACTATACTGTCAAAAAGCACCGTCCTTCGGATGAGACGTTAAACCCAGGTCCTGACTCTCTGTGGTCACAAAAATCCCATAGCACTTCTCGTAAAGAGTAAGGGTGTAACCCCGGTGTCCTGGCCAAATTGCCGTCACTGGCCCTTGTCAATCATGGCCTCCTAATAATCCCCATCCACTTGATTGGCTCTATGACTCTTCTCTCCTCTCCACCTGTAGCTGGTGTGTGGTGAGCGCACTGGCGCCATTATACTGTGGCTGCCGTTGCATCATCCAAGTGGATGCTGCACACTCGTGGTGGTTGAGAAGAGCCCCCCCCCCCACATGATTGTAAAGCGCTTTGGGTGTACAGCAATACACAATAAAGCACTATACAAATACATCATTCATTCATCATTCATTCATAATGTAAACAGATCTGAAAAAGAAATTGACTGGTGCTAGCTAATGTAAAAGTTGCTGTGATGCTCAAAGAGGTTTTTAGTATGTTGCATTGTGTCGACTGTTTTTTGGTGTATTACAAAGTGGTCTCTATGACTTGTGTAGTTCATGTTATGATAATGATAATATAGCATGATAATATTATCTGTAAAGAATAATTTGTATTGAAATCAAATTTTTGGCCAAAATATGAACACTCCTGAAATCTACTTAACAGGGTTTTTTTTCAACTACACCAATTACTAACATGTATAAAATCTAACATACAGCCATAACATTTATAAAAAATCCTAAGAATTCATAAATTGTGAATTAATTGGATGGATGGATGAGATATCCCTAATTTTTGACCCTCCCATTACTAAAATGTGCAGAAAATCAAGCTTTCAGCAATAATTTCTCAAATTTTATTGCATATCATAATGAAAAAATATAAAATTAGTATATGTATATGAATAAACTATAAATACTAGGAACTGAATCATGACTGACATGATGTGTGATGAATCAGGAAAAAAAATCACTAGTCATCTCAACTAGTCCCACTACATGTCCTTTGGCACTTTAAAAAAAAAAAAAACACCCCCTAGTACCTGAGAGCTAGAAGAACATACAAAACCACGTCTATCAAGTCTCAGTTTGTGGACCCATCGGCCCTCTGAATGCTTACATTGTTCATGTGGAGAGTGCACTTGGTGCAGGGTGGGGTTTCTGGCAGCTGCTAGGTGTCTGAGATATTTTTAGTGAGGAGCGCTTGCTTGCCACCACAAGGAGGAGACTGAACAAACACTCTGATAGGGATCCACATCTGGCCTGAGGGGGAAGTCTGAGGAAAGTTACAGACAGCGTGGACCACGAGACCGAGAAAAGGACAGGGGGCGTGAATGAATGAGGGGTGCGAAGAACCGTTAAAGTTTTATGTTTATGTTTTCACCCAAATCAGTGCTGGAATCAGAGCGCGTTTACCGCGCGTCTGTCCCAGTTAGGTGGGCGAGTGGAGGTGTACAACATTTGTTTGTGTGAGTTTGGGGAAACAGATCTGTTGTTAATGCACTTGTCTGACGATTCCGCCACCCTCGTGCCGCCATCGGCCCATCGACATCTGGGATGGGTGGCATCTGTGCCGGTGGATGAGGGGGTGTCCAGGTCCTGAATCCACTCCTGAAGGTACACATCAGCTCTGCGATAGCAGGCTAAATAAACAGAAGGGAGGAAACCCTGTCTAGACAAGGCTGCTGCCGGGCCCGCTACGCACACCAGCCTCCTGTTTACACAAGGGGGGAATGCTGTCCACAGCCAAGAAACGATGGGGTAGAGAGACGAAGAGAGAGAAAAGGGAAAGTGGTAGAGCAAACAGTGCAGTAGAAAAGAAGTGTGTGTGTTTGGGTGAGGGGTGCTGAAACATGCTGCTCTCTCTCTCTCTCTGTACGTACAGAAATAGAGATAGAGAAGTGCAGAGGGGGAAAAAAGCAATCTGGTGATACCAGAAAGGACAGCTAAATACCTCAGACACCATGCAAAAACATGCCAAATGTAGGTCATTAAATTATTAGAACAGTAGGCCACAACATTTTTTGAATGTTTCAGTGTCACATGATTCTTCAGAAATTAATTCTATTACATTGATTGATTTGGGGCTCAAGAAACATTTCTTGTTATTTCAAATGTTGAAACAGTTGCTTCTTAATATTTTTATGGAAATTGTGATACATTTTTCAGCATGGTTTGATCAATAGAAAGTTTAAAAGAACAGCATTTATTTGAAATAGGATTAGATTTTTTTTTTTTCAATTTTTTAAAATTTAAACAATATAATGTATTTCTATTACTCTTATGGTTTATATATATATATATATATATACAGTGGGTACGGAAAGTATTCAGACCCCTTTAAATTTTTCACTCTTTATTATATTGCAGCCATTTGCTAAAATCATTTCAGTTAATTTTTTTTCCTCATTAATGTACACACAGCACCCCATATTGACAGAAAAACACAGAATTGTTGACATTTTTGCAGATTTATTAAAAAAGAAAAACTGAAATAACACATGGTCCTAAGTATTCAGACCCTTTGCTCAGTATTTAGTAGAAGCACCCTTTTGATCGAATACAGCCATGAGTCTTTTTGGGAAAGATGCAACAAGTTTTTCACACCTGGACTTGGGGATCCTCTGCCATTCCTCCTTGCAGAGCCTCTCCAGTTCTGTCAGGTTGGATAGTAAACGTTGGTGGACAGCCATTTTTAGGTCTATCCAGAGATGCTCAATTGGGTTTAAGTCAGGGCTCTGGCTGGGCCATTCAAGAACAGTCACAGAGTTGTTGTGAAGCCACTCCTTCGTTATTTTAGCTGTGTGCTTAGGGTCATTGTCTTGTTGGAAGATAAACCTTCGGCCCAGTCTGAGGTCCTGAGCACTCTGGAGAAAGTTTTCGTCCAGGATAACCCTGTACTTGGCCGCATTCATCTTTCCCTCAATTGCAACCAGTCGTCCTGTCCCTGCAGCTGAAAAACACCCCCACAGCATGATGCTGCCACCACCATGCTTCACTGTTGGGACTGTATTGGACAGGTGATGAGCAGTGCCTGGTTTTCTCCACACATACCGCTTAGAATTAAGGCCAAAAAGTTCTATCTTGGCCTCATCAGACCAGAGAATCTTATTTCTCACCATCTCACAACTCCATGCGGGCTTTCATGTGTCTTGCACTGAGGAGAGGCTTCCGTCGGGCCACTCTGCCATAAAGCCCCGACTGGTGGAGGGCTGCAGTGATGGTTGACTTTCTACAACTTTCTCCCATCTCCCGCCTGCATCTCTGGCGCTCAGCCACAGTGATCTTTGGGTTCTTCTTTACCTCTCTCATCAAGGCTCTTCTCCCCCGATAGCTCAGTTTGGCCGGACGGCCAGCTCTAGGAAGGGTTCTGGTCGTCCCAAACGTCTTCCATTTAAGGATTATGGAGGCCACTGTGCTCTTGGGAACCTTAAGTGCAGCAGAATTTTTTTTGTAACCTTGGCCAGATCTGTGCCTTGCCACAATTCTGTTTCTGAGCTCTTCAGGCAGTTCCTTTGACCTTATGATTCTCATTTGCTCTGACATGCACTGTGAGCGGTAATGTCTTATATAGACAGGTGTGTGGCTTTTCTAATCAAGTCCAATCAGTATAATCAAACACAGCTGGACTCAAATTAAGGTGTAGAACCATCTCAAGGATGCTCAGAAGAAATGGACAGCACCTGAGTTAAATATATGAGTGTCACAGCAAAGGGTCTGAATACTTAGGACCATGTGATATTTCAGTTTTTCTTTTTTAATAAATCTGCAAAAATGTCAACAATTCTGTGTTTTTCTGTCAATATGGGGTGCTGTGTGTACATTAATGAGGGGAAAAATGAACTTAAATGATTTTAGCAAATGGCTGCAATATAACAAAGAGTGAAAAATTTAAGGGGGTCTGAATACTTTCCGTACCCACTGTATATATATATATATATATATATATATAAAAGGAATGATAAGCCTACATTGATAATTCTAATAAGTCATTTTAGAGATTTTAGAGCAAATGATTATGCATTGATAATACAGCTAATGCTTTGATAATGCAGTTATTAATACAGTCTAGCACAGTTTTTAGAGAGAGAGTGAAACTAAGTTTAACTGCTTCAAGAACAGCGACGTCTCCACTGAGAAAGCTGCAAAACTATTTTATTGCTAAAGTTGCGGGGAAGCGCAACATGTTTCTGTGCACGTGTATGCATTTGTATGGGACAGACAGTGGGAAAAGTGTGTGTGCTTTCTGTGGATAATAAAACAATTTTGTAGGAAAAACATGGAAATAATTTGTCATTTTTATCCTATACTTTGATATATTTATTGGCTTGGTCACTGTCGTTGTGGGTTTTGGATCTTTTGCTGTTGTAGGACCTTTGAAATAACTAAAATAATTTGGCAAAGTGATATGGACAAACGTTTTATATGCACATGCTGACTGACAGAGACAAAAAAACTGTTAGAGAAACTTACCATATATAAACACAACTGACTCCTCGATGGCATGCTGGTAGCTGAGCTGAGAGTCCAGAAGGGCCCGGCTGACAAAAGAACCATAGAAGGTCGACTGGTACCAACCCACATGAAGATGATCAATATTTACATGGCGCAAACTTCTCATCATCTCCATCTACTACTGAACTACAAGAGAAAAAAAAAGAAAAAGGCATCAGGGTGGGAAAGAAGGCATGATGTTGTGATTTCTCAATTGCACATTTTGCTTGACGATTATTGTCCCTCTCATTATGTGGAGCTCTGAGCACCTCTTCACCTGAAGAATAAGTCACAGCAAACAACAAGGACATGCAAAGTGCCTTGAGAGGGAAAATGTCTTACAGATATAATCATGTCCGCCTTGTTTCATTGTCAGTTAAAGAGCTGTTAAGGGTTATAATTCACCTGGTCTGGATTCTGGAGACCGATATTCAACTAATAAGTGATTTCAACTGTGAATATCAATATTTCTTAATAGAAGATGATGATATTTTGCCCAATACTCAATTGCTATGAATATTAAAATCTAATTCTAGAAAAAAAACAAATACTGCAAAAACAAATACAAGAACATTAAAATAAAGAATACTATACTATAGAATACTATTATACACACACACACACACACCATCAAAACAAAGCAAATATTATGTCTTAATTTATTACAGTGCAAAAATAAATATTATTCTTATTTGATATCTTTGTCTTGTTTAAAAAAAAATGCAAAAAATGCTTAAAACAAGATAATATTAATAAAAATAATTATAATTATTATAATATATTTGTCACATTTATGTTCTGTTTCTGTTTAGATTTCCCTTGTTTCTGTTCTTCCTGCCGGTGACCTATACTGTGTTCCCTGATTAGTTCATTAGTTTCCACCTGTGTTGATTAATAATCTCATTAGTTCCCTTTGTTTGGTTCTTGCTTATAAGCCCTCAGTTCTCCCTTAGTCTTGGTCTGTTCTCTGTCATGTTTAGTTGTGTTATCATTGTCTCCTGGTTCCTGAGTTGTTTATTAAAGTATTCCTGTGTTTGAATCGCACTCTGATTCTTCAGTCCTGTTCCTGGTACACACTGTACGCTGATAATATGATGATTTACCTGCTGGCTTGCTGGAGCTTTGAATCCATGTTTGCAATGTTGAACTGCCTTTAGCAGCCTCCCTTCGCTCTTTCTCTCTCTGTCTCTGTCTTCCTTTTTTGTGAAGGCATTGTTTTTGGAAATTTTTTTTTGTCTACAAATTGTGCCAACAACAGCAAATTTGGCGTCTCCTGGTTCCTGAGTGGTTTATTAAAGTATTCTGTGTTTGAATCACACTCTGATTCTTCAGTCCTATTCCTGGTACACACCGTATGCTGACAATATTATTATAATTTATAATAATAATAATAATAATAATAATTTATTATAATAATAACAGCAATTATTACAAATATATAGTTAATACAATATATTACAAAATTATGGTTAATAATAATTATGATTAATAATAATAATATTCACAATGTTAATAAACATGCTTAAAAGATGCATTTATCTGAGTACTAGCAAAATAAGAATATATATAGACCTATTGTGCATAAATACTGTCAGAAATTCAGAAAACACATACAGTATGTGACCCTGGACCACAAAACCAGTCATTAGGGTCAATTTTGGATTTTGAAATTGAGATTTATACATCATCATACTACGACCGTCTCACAGCACAGCCATCAACACCCTCCCCCTACTGTTTCTCAAACTGTACTCAAGATCTGTGAAGACGATGTAAGCAAAGTCTTCAGGAGACAGAAGATAAGGAAAGCCAAAGGCCCAGACGGTGTCTCTCCAGCCTGCTTCAAAGCCTGTGCTGTCCAGCTATCATCCATCTTCACATTGATCTTCAACAGATCCCTGGAGCTGTGTGAAGTCCGCTCCTGCTTCAAACGCTCCACCATCATCCCTGTACCCAAGAAACCAAAAATCACAGGACTTAATGACTACAGACCTGTTGCTTTAACGTCTGTGGTCATGAAGTCATTTGAGAGACTGGTGTTGGCCCACCTGAAGGACATTACTAGACCCCCTGCAGGTCTGTGGATGATGCAGTCAATATGGGACTGCACTACATCCTGCAACATCTGGACAAACCAGGGACTTATGCAAGGATCTTGTTTGTGGACTTCAGCTCCGCTTTCAACACCATCATCCCAGACACCCTTCAGAATAAACTGACACAGCTCTCTGTACCCACATCCATCTGTCAGTGGATCACCAGCTTCCTGACAGACAGGCAGCAGCTAGTGAGGATGGGAAAACTCACATCCAACACCTGCACCATAAGCACCGGAACCACCATCTCACAGGACACGAAGTGGGTCACTCATATTGACTCCATCTTAAAAACCGCTTAGCAGAGGTTGTACTTCCTTCGTCAACTGAAAAAGTTCAACCTGCCACAGGCACATATGACACAGTTTTACTCAGCTGTTATTGAATCGGTTCTATGCTCTTCTATAACTCTCTGGTTTGGGTCAGCCAGCAAATCAGATATAAGAAGACTGCAGCCGACTGTTAGGACAGCAGAAAGGATCATTGGTGTCCACCTGCCCAATCTTCAGGACTTGTACAACTCCAGAGTGAAGAAACAGGCAGGTAACATCACCAAAGACCCCTCTCACCCCAGACACAACCTGTTTGCACTTCTCCCCTCAAGCAGACGCTACAGATCTCTGTGCACTAGAACATATAGGCATAAAAACATTTTTTTCCCCCCATGCCATCTCCATCTCTAATTATTGCCTCTCTCTCAAGTACTATGTAAATACATATGCATATTTTTAATACAGCTGTATATATAGAGTAAATAATGCACAAATCTGTACATAAATCTTCTGTTCCAGATTCATACACATTATTATTTATTGTTAAGTCTTATTTAAATGTTTCTGTTCTCATGTCAGATATGTATGTATATATGTATGTATGTATGCATGTATGTACCAAGAGCTTCTTAAAAACCACAACAAATTCCTTGTGTGTTTGCGCACACTTGGTGAATAAAGCTGATTCTGATTCTGATCTGAAGTCTGAATAAATAAGCTTTCTATTGATGTAAGGTTTGTTAAGATAGGACAATATTTGGGCGAGAAGCAACTATTTGAAAATCTGGAATCTGAGGGTGCAAAAAAATCCAAATATTGAGAAAATCGCCTTTAAATTTGTCCAAATTAAGTTCTTAGCAATGAATATTACTAATCAAAAACTAAGTTTTGATATATTTACGGTAGGAAATTTACAAAATATCTTCATGGAACATGATCTTTAATTAATGTCCTAATGATTCTTGGCATAAAATAAAAATAATTTTGACCCATACAAGACCCCAGCGACTTAAGACTGGTTTTGTGGTCCAGGGTCACAGTTTAGTATAGTAAACAAACAAGCAATAATATTGATGCTGCTCTTTTCATACAGCTGAAGCATACAGTAACCATAGGCAATATTGATTCAATATCCTTTTCAAACTTATATTCACAATTTAGCACAATAGCATCTGGATATCCTAATATTCAGAAGGATTTTAGGATAAAGTTAGGATAAGTTAGGACAACCAAAGTAAGATAAAGGTAATCTTATTTGAATCCACAAATGATTAAAAAGCAGTCTGTTCATGCTCAGTGCATAAAGTGTCTGTGCTTCAGTACCATGTAAAAATACATCCTTGTCTTTACTAGCATATTCACTATTAGCTTATGAGCAAAAACCTCTCTCTGACAGAACTCCGACAACATTGATGGGGTTTTAATGTTTAAATGAAATGGATTCTAATCCTTGGACATTTAAGAGCTCTGTCAGCAATGCAATATCACTTTACTAGTATTGCCAGTTAGCATTGTTTACTACTATAGGCTAGCTTAGCGAATTGATATTAAACACTACGGGCCCTGTCATACACTTGGCGCAATGCGGCGCCAGGCGCGACGCAAGTGTTTTTTGCTAGTTTCAGCCTCACGCAGTTGTCATTTTCACGTCCTGCGCCACGTTGTTTAACCTGTTAACCCGCACCGGCCCGAGGGGCGTGTTTAGGCGTG